TACGTTTCGCCGGTGGTGACGCCAGTGTGATTAGTCAGTGGTTGTCCCCCCTAACGTCAAAAACGAAGTGGGCAGGGCTTATCGGCCGGGACTGGATCGGTCTATTGTTTTTAGTCTCAGAAAATGTACCAGTGCAAATCTGAAATTTAATGTATTATATGTAATTATCATGCATATAAAACGTTTTGCACCTTTCAGTTAGAGTATGATGATTGAATTGTAAATCTTTAATTCTTCAGAAATGTAAGATTATTTTATCACGTCACATGACATGTATATATGACACTGAGTTCCAAAGAATACAAAGGCCCAGGTATATGTGTCAAAATATACAGAACAGCAAAAGAAACGCAAGTCTGGCTTTTTAAATAGAAGACAATTAAAATTATGTCTAATCATTTATTCTATAGAAAACAATGTCAATAGTTCAAATTGATCACAGTCGGTCAAATGGAGATACCCCTGAAGTTATATACAGCATCAAAGTTGTCTTGTCTGTCTGTCCAAGTTTTCAGATGAAAGAATTTTGGTAACAGATGTTGGTTAGTTTTTTTGTTAACGCTTCACTCGGCTCTATTCCCTCAATATGGCGGAGGTCTGTCAATAATCAAATCTAGACCTGGCAATCCAGAGATCAACAGCATAAGCATTGATCAGATAAAAAATGTTAGTGTGGGACTGTATAAATAATTGTTTTAGATACATAATTCTTATGGCTGAGTAATGCTCACATACAAGCAATACATGCATATAAAACATCTTTCAACAAAAGATTTTCCCCTTAGGCCAGACCAATTTTATTGCTTGTTTTACGGATCCGCCGTTCGTATTTTTTCAAGAATAAGGAAAAAAATATACATTTATTTGCCCGGCACAAAATATAAAATCCTAGTGTTTTTATTGGCCAAAAATGTAAACTTAAAAAAAAATGTTTTTAGATTGTACTTTGCCCCCCATATACACTTCATAAATTGCCAAAAGTAAAATACTTTTAGTATTTTGAAGGAATATTACTTTGACTGGTGATTTTTGCTTTTATTTGTTTTTCCTCCTGCCTTTAGGTTTTCTGAGGACAAAAATCCCTAAAACAAGAAATAAAATTGGTCTGGCCCTAATATACAATATTTACAGTCATTCAGTGTATGGGGCATTTGTGTATCTTCCAAAATTGACGAAGTTTAAACCTACATCTGAAAAGAGCCATGGATAGTCTTAGGTGTACAGGGATAGGGAGTGTAAGATTCTTATCCACATTTAACAGTGATTTAAAATGGTGTTTATAGAAGGAATAAGACAACCCTTTGATAGAACTACACCATGATTGTTGTCTGTTTCAAAAGGTGAATAAATATCTTCACATCTTGTGTATTCAAATCCCAGTCTAAACAGAATATTTTTAATATGAGGAGCCCATGTGGTACGGCATTGGAGAGGCAGTTTGTGCTCATCCAAATACAGTAGCCTGCACCAATACCTAATAGCCCTTGTGGTGTGCACAAGTTGGAGAGGGGTTCTCTGCCACATTCTCCCCAAACCATAGCATTTTTTTCTGTTTAGAGAAACCATTTACATGTCTTATGCTGTACATATTCAATAATTTTACAATATGAGGTCCCCTATACTTCTGCACATTACACACTATAGGAACAATCATAGCATCAAATATCATAATTAATCTTGACATGGTTTACTTTCAACTTTCTTTTGACATCTGTACAATGTCATAACAGCCTTTTTTACTCTGCTCACCAAGAGTAGTTAGTGCTTTAGTCCAAATAGGTTTAGGTGTTAACAAAATACCCAAATATCTATAAAAAGACAGTTTAAAGATACACCATAAAATTTTGATTTAAAAAAAAAAAAATAACAATAGTGATCTGGTTAACAAATACATGTTGAATTATGTATGCATGCACTGCTGTAAAGTATGGTAAAGTAAAGCAAAGAGTCCATAGCAGCATTTAACCAAGCTAGGTAACTGATATCTGACTGAATAATTGCTGATATCAGTTGATTTGTATCAGATCTATTCTAATAAGACCAGGGTTATCATGCTAAAAATAATCAATATACAGCAAATGTATTCTCTGATACTGGCTTAAAGCCATAAAAACTACAGTTCTCGTGACAGGTTTCATCGGTAAAAATAACCCTTAATTGAACAGTTCACAAATAGTGGAATATTTATCTGTCTAAAAAGTTCTTCACATATATGTTATACCGATGTATTTACATACTTATCATACCATGTAATTTTATATATTCAGTTTAATAATATGAGCTTTATAATTGTGTGTATTTTTTTTATATAGATCATTTGATTCACCATGTTTATTATAATCATAAACATTTCTGAATGAATTTCTGAATTTTTTTCACTCATTACTCGCGTATTAATGTGAATATTAGCAGAACATAACTCCAGATTCAGAGATAGGTGAACAGTTAGTATTTTGTCAAGTCACCATGGGCAGCAAGGCAGACTTCAATGCGGTGGGGCATACTACTGATCAAAGAAGTTAGAAAGTCGTGGTCCATGCTGTCCCAATATCGGACCACCTCTTCTTTCATTTCAGCAATATTTGTCAGATTTTTCTCATTGACACTTTCCTTCATAAGTCCCCAAACATTTTCTGTTGGAATTGTGTCAGGGCTATAGCTTGGCCAATCTAATAATGTCATATTTTGGGTCCCGAAACCAGGCCTGTGAATGCTTTGAACAATGTTTTGGGTCGTCCTGCTGGAAAATCCCAAAAATTCCATAGAACACGTGAGCAGATGGAAGTAAATGTCCCTCGAGAATATCTGTGTATCGCTTACTGTTCATATTCCCTTCAAATACACAGAGGGGCGTTGCCCCTAACACAGATATGCCACCCCACACGTTAAATTTCGGACTGTACTTTGGGCGCTGATACAAAGGTTTTTCAGTTTGTTTGGTCCAGAATTTCAGTGTATTAGGAAACAGCCACACAGAACTTTCATCTGAGAAAATCACATTGTCCCAGTTAAAATTTCTATGCTGTAAGCACCAGTTCAACCCTTGCTCCTTTTGTTCAGGTTTCATGATCAGTGATGGAATTCCTCGACTTTTCTGCAAACCCATTGCATGCAGCTCAGTTCTAATTGTCTCCTTCAGACAGCCACAGTTCCTCTATCAATCATATCCAGCCTTAAGTTTTCTAAACTCCTTCATTTGTTTTTAGAAACAAGAATACCAAGCCGCCTCCTGTCACCGACAGTCAATTTTCTGGGCCTACCTGCGCCTCCCTGGTGCTCAATGCCATATCCATTTGCAATATTTTTTCAAAACACGATAAACAGTGGACAAAGGGATGCCTGTTCTACTTGAAATCACTTTAGCTGATCTGATGTTCTTGTTATTATCCCCTGCAATGCGTTTTGCGGGGGGTATTAAAATGGACTCGGTCCGTGCGTCCGTCCGTCCGTGCACATTTGTCTTTTCCGGAGCAGAACTCTAAAACCGTTCAATATTTCTTCACCAAACTTGGCACATAGATAGATCTGATGGTGTACTGGTGCCTTTTGGTAGTTTTGGAATTCTGAATAAAATATTTTTGGCGTTTCCATGGCAACAAGTTTGACTTAGCCTGAAATTGTGGTAGTGCTCTTTTCCGGAGCAGAACTCTAAAACTGTTCACTATTTCTTCACCAAACTTGGCACATAGATAGATCTGGTGGTGTACTGGTTCCTTTTGGTAGTTTTGGAATTCTGAATAAAATATTTTTGGCGTTTCCATGGCAACAAGTTTGACTTAGCCTGAAATTGGTGATAGTGCTGCTTTCTGGAGCAGAACTTTAAAAACCTTTCAATACTCTCCTTCCACTTTTCTATATACACACCTAAATATTTGACATAATCATAACTCGTAGACATAATCATGAAGAGTATTTTGCCATTGCGGGGGATATTGATGACTTTGTCAACTTCCACTTTTCTAAATCATCCATACTGAGGATCACTGAAAATGTCGTCTGCTAGCAAGAAAACAAAGGGGGATAACTCTTCACAAACTAATTAAAAAGGATTAACGGAGTTGTCTCTCTTGAATGAAACCAAGCACTTGATAGCTGGTCTAGGTTGTTAAAACTGGAAATCCAATTAAACATATTCCTAAAATTCTCAATAATTTCTGGTCATACTATATGTTACCTGTTTCATGTTGTTTTGTGGAGGCTAAATGTCAGGATGACAAACCCTGTCATTAACATCATTCATGTGGATCTAAACGCTTTACCTTGTAATTTCACAAGGCGATTAAAAAAAAAATATATATCTGCTAAACCTACCCTGAAACGATGGAAGACACGGGACATAATCGGCTATAATTTTGTCATCCAATTTGCTAAAATAAAAATGCTATCTATATTCAATCAATGTTGTTGTTCAGATCCATGATTTATGTGTACGATTTCGTAGCAATAGCGAGTTGACACGAAATATCAAAGCTCGTGATGAAAATAGGGTGTGTGTCATTGTTTACATATCATCCATGTAACAACGATTTTCGTGTCTCGAAACTGCTTAAATAACATTTTCTTACACTGAAAGTTATAATGGCCGTTGTTCTGGTGATGATTACTTTGCCATAGCATTGATGAAAATGCTATGAAAAAATTCTAACCACCCATTCTCGGATTTTTCTATAGTAAATGTATGGCGCGTCTCCCTGCAGTGAAGACCGCCATTTGGGAGTGGTTGCCTGGGTCGGTGTCGGATTGTTAGCACAGGCGCGACAGACCAAGGGAACAATGCTGTCCAAAATGTTAGCTGACACGACATTCTACTAGGTTTTGTTAGACTCAGTATAGCAGTGTAGCGAATAATACTGAGCCTAAGTTTACTTAGACTGGTAGAAAATCCAAAAGCTTTTATACTAATTATAGTGTGACAGCTGTCAAAAAATAGGATAATGGCAATGTTGTAATGGAGGTAATATTTTATTATCATTTTTTATAACTATTGTTTAATCTTTCAGTGATACACAACACATTGAACAGCATGGAACAGAGGCCACTTCAGAAACAGCGGGAGCAGCCATTGACTCAAAACCAGTAGAGAGGGTTGTAGAGGCCAGAACAGCTGATGATTCCATGTCTTCAATGGTCAGATGTCTGTATTTTGCAGATACCTTTGTAGTTACAGGTAATATGTGACACATATCACATTTAGGGTATCTCCTTTGTAACCATGGGAATTAAGCTAAGATCAGGGCTTTCTTTTCTGGCGGGGATTCCACCTGAATCTGAAATCTTAGCAAACTTGCTCCAAGCACAAAAGAACACCCACACGTTTTCATGATTGCAATCATTTTATACTTAGCCTGGTATTAATTATTGAGTTTGATGTTTGTTTTTAATATTTGATGAATGTGCTGCACAATAATTGTGAGTGTTCCTGAAATACTCACAACTGACATTGAAGGTCAGGCCCACTCTCAAGGACACACCAAAAAGTGTATTGTGTTCATGAAAAAATTATGACTATTTGGGTGAAATTTTGGTTTCAAAATGTTGCGGACATGCCCATTCATGGTTTTTAAGCTTTTCTTGAACACAACAAATTTAAAAAAGAAGCCATGTTTGAAAACTGGACAGCAATAGTTTTGCAAATGAAGTTAAATTTGGCATACATGTACTATGTGCTTTTGATACAGTCAAGTGAGCTTATGTCAAGGCCTGTTTTGTGTTTCGTTAGGTGTCAGCAGCAAACATTTCCTCAGAAGTGTCCTAAAACTGTCATTGAGAAACAGCTCAGGTGTGGGGCAATGTTTACAAACATGGATTCTTTATATTCTTTATTTCTTTGTGGTGGCGTGTGATCCTGTGCATAGCACTCAGTTGAAGTTAAGCAACATTGGGCTCGCAGAGGCCTTGTATTGGATGGGTGACCGTGTTTGGCAGCTTAACTCCTGAGAGTTTCTAGGACTTCAGTCCTGCCCCACAACGAAGCACATGGGATACATGTGGTCTCACCTTAGGCAAGTGAGTTTGTTCAAAATTGCCTCTGTTCACCCAGCAGAAAATGGGTACCGGTACCCGGTTAAAGTCATGAGACTATTAACCTTCTAGCACCTAACAGGCAGCTTGGGTTATCCAGGGTAATAATGATCAGATTGTGCGCTTTGAGCAGGATATCTAACCTGGAAAAGGCATGTTATAAACGTTAAACATATTATATTGGAAACAGTGCTTTAATGGATCAGAAGGGTTGAGCTACAGTATTTATATATGGCGATGCTGTTTTCTAGTTATGTTTTGAAATTTATAAAAAAGGAATTATATTTTTATAATGGTATAATAGCTGTTACCTGGTTCAGATTGATCATTTAAAGACTTAGTCTGGTAGGATGTGTACAGCATTCAAGTCCTGTGGAAGTTTTGCGATGAAAGCAAGACATTGTGTTTTTTGTATTCATCAGACATGCTAGTTCAATAAAAAGTTTGCTTCCAAGTTGAAATATGGTGCAAATAGTACTTTTGAGCACTGTACAAAGTGGTTGTGGAAAAGGTTGCTAAAAGGTCAGAAGGTCATAATGGGAGAGTTGAATATTTAAAGTTTGAGGTTATTAACTTTATCCTAGTGTGTTTCTCTACTTCATGAAATATTTTATTAAAAGAAAACCCCAAAATATATTTTTTTAAATTAAAAAAATATATATAATGAACACTCCCTCTCTCAAAATGGCAGCTAGCAGACGAATTTAAGCAGATGTAGGTTTTGTGCATTTTGTAAGTATATGATTGCTTCATTTCATCAACTCAATGTAAATCAAGTTATTAAAGAACAGTTATGTATGAAACAAAAAAGATGTTTATTTTTGTTTGGTGAGACTGTCAGTAAGGGAGCAGTCCTTATTTCAAAATGTAGTATGTCAATATCAGATTATGATTTATCAATTTCTTATTATTACGCTTGAAGTTTTTCATCTAAAAGCAGAGTTCTTTGAAAATAGATAAGAATATAATGAAATGATGGGGAGAAAACACTATTTTCTGCTTCACACTCTCTCAATTAAATCCCTTGAAATAATTTTCAAGTCATCAGCCCAGTTCTCCACTAATCAACATGACACATTTGGCATGCCTACATCTTGTGATCAGTGATTCAGAATGTGATAAGATTCATAACACACATTGTATTCGCCTCATAGTGTAGTTCCTTACAGCCTAATGCCAACATGCTGCATCGGATCAAGCAATTTGATGAATTTGACAAGTGTCAGAGTGTGGCAAGTCAACGCCAAAGCAGTCATAGCTTCAGTCATCAAGGCACTTCAATGGGGGGAGCTTTTTTATAGGGGGGTATTAAAATGGACTCTATCCATCTGTCCGTGCTACATTTGAATGCTTTTTATCCTCCGCAACACGTTTTGCGGGAAATATTAAAATGGACTCCGTGCGTCCGTGCACATCTTTTCTGGAGCATAACTCCAAAACCGTTCACTATTTCTTCACCAAACTTGGCACATAGATTGGTCTGGCGGTGTACTGGTGTACTGATATATAATACTCTCGGCAAGGGTTCAGTGATATTGTTGATGTTCAGAGCTTTCGAACGATACCCGACATCAAACGATTCACCTCGAATGTTATTCATACGAAGCTTCGAAAACGGTGGTATTTTCCGTTGTTGTGTCATGTTACCGAGCGGAAAGCAACTGATATCAGGAAATAGGCGACCATACATATTATTTAAGAAATCTTTTTATAATAATTTTCTGGTTACGTAAAAATTAAAATATAAAAGAAAAAGGCACGGGCATGTTATGACGTGTCACAAATGGAAAAAAATCGCCTCATGTTTTGCTTCCTTCGTGGTTTATCTGGACATACAAATGTGTAAGCTTGCATTTTCATTAAAAATTACCTTATTTAAGTTGTAGTCGTATTACTTGAATAATATGATAAAAAATAATATTTCATATTTATAAACAGTAGGATTAGACCTTTCAAATGATGTATGATATGTAGTAGTAATAATTATTTACGAGCTGATATTTTCAATGATAAACATAGGTTTCATCTATGACCTCAGAGTCTCTAGGAACTTGGTGTCATGGCAGTAAATGCCTCTGGTTGACTGACTGGTGTTGAAAGAGTTAACCAGACTTGGTACTCACGTCAACCATGATCCCTAGATGTGCCTTTTAGGGGGTTAGACCCAGATATGACATTATTTTTGCTGTTTCCATGGAAACATGACTTAGGCTGTGACTTTGAGGATGTCATCTTGTTGCATTTCCATGGCAACAAGTTAGGCTTCAACTGAATTTGGTGGTAGTGCTGCTTTCTGGAGCAGATCTTAAAAACCTTTCAATACTCTCCTTCCACTTTGCTGTATACACTCCAAAACATTTGACATAATCATAACTAGCAGACATATTCATAAAGAGTATTTGCCGTTGAGGGGGATATTGATGACTTTGTCTTCTTCTTCTTCTTCAAATAAGGTGAGCTACAGAGCCATGTGTTTTAATTTTGATTTGATTTTTTTTTTCAGGAGGAACACATAACCCTTCACTTTGGGCTGGTACAAATGGTGGTCAAGTATTTATCTATAACCTCAGTGTTCCAACAGACAAACGCTCTGCTGATACAGTTGTGTGTACATTGGCAAAAGAAATCAAGTTAAAACACCATGCACCAGTCATTAGCCTGGCAGTGATTGATGGTAAAGCAAGGGTTCTTCCTGAAGCTTTAGAGGTCCAACATGAGCGTGCCAAAGCACCAGACATGGAAAGTGCTCATTCTGTGGTGATCATATCAGAAGAACAGCTGAAGGTTAGCGCAGAAATACTTTCCTATAGAAATCCCTTGTATTTAAATTCACAGAATGTTATTTGAGGTTAATGTATTGGTGTTACTACCCATTACATCTGTGAGGATGGGCAAGTTGGGTTTGAGTTGTGAGGGATCAGTGTTGGCGATTGTTGGGGTATATTATCTGGAGTTAAGCCAAGACATACTAACTGGAATTTCTGACCGAGCATTTGGACAGGTGTTACTGTTTACTCTCCAGACTAATACAGTTTTGTTATCCCCCGCAACGCGTTTTGCGTGGGGTATTAAAATGCACTCCACCTCTGTGTGTGTCGGTGTGTGCATCCGTGCACATTTGTCTTTTCCGGAGCAGAACTTTGAAACTGTTCAATATTTCTTCACCAAACTTGGCACAGAGATAGGTCTGGTGGTGAACAGGTGCCTTTTGGTAGTTTTGGAATTGTAAATGAAATATGTTTTGCGTTTCCATGGCAACTAAGTTGACTTTGACTTATATTGGTGTTGGTGCTCTTTTCCGGAGCAGAACTTTCAAACTATTCAATATTTCTGCACAGAACTTGGCAGATTGTTAGGTCTGCTGGTGAACTGGTGCCTTTTGGTAGTTTTGGATTTCTGATTATAATATTTTTTGGTGATTCCATGGCAACAAGTTTGCCTTCAACTGAATTTTGTGGTAGTGCTCCTTTCTGGAGCAGAACTTAAAAACCTTTCACTACTCTCCTTCCACTTTGCCATATACACATCAAAATATTTGACATAACCATAACTAGTAGACATATTCATGAAGAGTATTTTGCCATTGCGGGGGATATTGATGACTTTGTCTTCTTGTCCTCTATTTCAGTCCTTTGCACTGCCTTCTCTGAAGCCCAAGTGGAAGTTCAAACTTACAGCCTTAGATGGCTCTAGAATACGGAAAGTGGCTTTTGTCAACTTCAGAAGTAAAAGTGGTAAGATAACAAATATTCTGGGCAACCCATAATTGGCAAATAACCAATCTATGGTCTTCATTCAAATAACCAAGCTTCTCATTTTGTCATTTTCACATCAACTGGCTGTAGTTTAGTTTTTATTTCATGTCATTACTTCTAAACAACAAATCCAACATTTACCAAGACATAATGCGATTTACTACATACATCAAACTGTTGGGGTTAGAGAATGTCAACCAAAGTCACTGTAGTGTCTGCTAATGTAAAGAAGAGGATAGCTATGTCAGTTCTCAGGAAGGTCAAACAGCTCAAAGGTTTTCCAATACATCTGTATTACATTTATTTTATTGATCTGGATTGTTTTTCATTTTCCCCTCATCCATCCCGTCAATTTGATTTAAAAAAAACAGATCAATAAAACAAATGTAATTCAGATGTATGGTGGCAAAACATATTGAGGAATCAAAAGCATCATGGCATCTCTTGAGGTGAACAATCAAGGTCCAGCAAATGTTTACAATGAAACATGATACTTGGTCAAATGTAGCTGAGTGTGTTGAACATCTAGAGGAAAATTAATATCTAAGTAGACAGGAGAAAGTCATGCATCATGGACACAGACAAATGTCTAGGGTTGTGTTCTCAGCTCACTTTAACTCCCAGAACATACTACTCACAATTGTCAGGGGTTTAGAGCTAGAAATACTAGAGATTGTCACACGACATACTCTAGCAGAAGTACAAATGACAGAAACCCATAACTAAGTTAAAAGAAAATTATATATTTATCACAATGAGAAAAATACATAATTCACATTGTTCTAATAACCTAACGCGAGTACTTCTCTAATATCAGTACTAAACTTAATATTACTATAACACTGCTAAGACACCACTCTTGGGCTGCTGCTGCTGCTGCTGCTGCTACTCAATATTATTACCCATATGGTACTTCGTAAAGTGGTTTCCTAACACAGTGTTATGACACATATGTGTCATAACACCTTTGAGTCATTTGATTGGCTAATACGTGAACTTTGACATTACCGGTACTACTTTCATCACTCATTCCATTCATGATTTCATTCACAAGTTTTCACACCTTCATGTACAACAAGAACACTTCTATGAAATTACTGGTGTCCCCTGCCGTGATGTTGCTGGAATATTGCTAAAAGCGGCGTAAAACCAAACTCAGTCAGTCAGTCTATGAAATTAAATAAAATGTATTTTTTAGTGTGGTTACAAGCATAGGTTTTCAATCCTTTAATAACTTGAGTTTCTGTACATAAAAAAGAAAATAAAACAATCTAAATAAGTAAACATACGTCTGCTATAGGTCTATCGAGAGTGTAAACAAATATGCAACGCTGTAAAAGTTTATGATTTGGTGAAAATTTATGGACAACTTGTTGGAAGAGTTGTGAATATTTTCAGTCCATTGAATACCTTCAACTTGTATGAAAAACAAGTACCTAGATATAGACCGTGTGCCGGAGACTGCTTCGTTAGCCCCTCCCCCAAATTTGCCGATTGGCGATGATTTGAATCTGTCACAAGAACTGATTAATGAACTGTTTAGTGATGATGAGGAGGATGATCTTGGCCTAGATGCTAATTTTGATGACACAAATGATGAAGTATGGAATAAAGAAATTGATGACTTTTCACCAAAAATGAAAATGAAAACACGGCTAAGAAAACAAAATATAACATGAAAACGGTCTCAATGTATTTCCAAAATGTTCTGAAGGAACACAGATCTCTTGAAAAAATCTCCCCAAACGAACTGAATCAATAACTGTACAAATTTTTCATGGATGCCAAAAAAGCCCACTGAAACGAGTATGAGCCATCGTCACTAAGCAGATTTCGATCAAGTTTGGACCTCCATTTGAGGAGATTGAACTATCAAAAATCAATACCACTTGACCCCGAATTTGCTCGATCTAGGGAGGTGTTTACGAGTAAATTAAAGCATGTCAAGGCGGAAGGGAAAGGAAACTTACTTAAAGCCGTCAAGGCCGTGTCACAGTCCGAAATAAACAAACTTTGGGAAGTGGGTCAACTCGGAGAAGGGTCTCCCGATGCTATTCTTAACACATTGTGGTGGAATAGTACCATGTTTTTTGGCTGAAGATCTGTCCTTCCACATAGAAATATGCACTGGAGAGATGTCTCTCTTCAAGTTGACAGTGAGGGTCAGGAATATCTTGAGTACTGCGAGCGACAAACCAAGACCCGCACTGGTACTAATCCAAATGACACAAGACGGATTCCCCCGAGAGTATGGGCTGTACCGAGTGACCCTGATAGGTGTCCGGTAGCACTGTACAAGAAGTATCGTAGCCACCGTCCCCAGAATTTCTCTTCAAATGATCATCCATTCTATTTAGCTTCACACTCTAAGGGTGTCCCTCGTGATGGCGAGTCTTGGTTTAAGCGACAGCCAGTAGGGAAAAATAAACTTGGAAACATCATGAAATCCATGGCACAACACGCAAACTTGTCAAGTGACAAACGCTTGACTTATCACAGTGCAAGAAAAAACATGTTGCAAACTCTCAGTGAACGTAACTTTGCACCCACATACATAATGCGGCTGTCAGGCCATAAAAATGTTGCTTCTGTGAATTCGTATGCCAAAATTTCTAACACACATCAAAAGATGAGCGGCGCTCTTGTGTCTTGATCACTGCCGCTGTCAGCCGCGTCCACTTGTACTCTCAGGCCCTCGTGTCTTTGCGTGGATTAAAGATTTTATAAAATATATACAAAAATTTGAGATGACCCCCGACTCGAAATGCTTCACAGTATAATACATTATGACAAGGCCGGACACTTCGGTGCACCCCACCCGACTGCTTTGCTGATCGCTACGCTACCATCGCATGCAATCAATTAAAACTTAATGGAAACATAATCATGGATGATTGGGCTATCAAGCACCACTCATGACACCTACCAATTCTTTATTGTTATTTCTGCAAGTCGATTGAAACCCGATTTTGACTCTCAACTAAACGATCTTGACACAAATGGCTGATGATACATCCGCACAAAACGGGGGTGTGGTCGAAGCAAGCCCCTGGTTGGTTGATGTTTGTCAAGGAGACATTTACAAATGATGCTTTCTTTTGAGAAGCCATTGCTGGAAAAAAATCTTACATTTCTTTCAAGTCAAGCAGTCGATGAAAGTAAAAATTCCCAAGAATTTTTAAAGAATGTGCAGATTTAGCAGCGTTGACCAACGGAGGGCTTGCTTTGACCACACCCCCATTTTTTGCGGATATTAAATCCTATAAATTTAATCCTATAAATACAAGCTAACATATACTCAAAGACTTCAGATTACATAGTATATATTTATACCTACAATACAGGTGTAACACTGACATCATTGTGTGTGACATTATATTTGGGATTACACTTTCTCAGTGATGGGAGCCCTGTCAGTTAAACTTGTTAGGTACTCAAAGTTGCCAGTTGTGATGGGTAAGATCATTGACTTTGAATGTTGGCAATAAGGAGCCCTACTCTGAGAGTATGGGTTCAAAATCATGGATGGGACTCAAACTGAAATATCACTCTCACTCACTCAGAATCTGTACTTTACTGAGGAAGAACATGTTACACTTGATCACTTCCTAAAAGGCATTGTGTATTTACATTCAATTCATTGTGGGGATAGGGTGGTCTGGCTCGCAGATGTGGTTCACACATCATCATATCCCAGTTGCGTAGGTCAATGCTCATTATGTCAATCACTGGATTGTGTGGTCCAGACTTGATTAATTTACAGACCGCCATCATATAGCTGGAAAGTTAATGAATGGTAGCAGTAAACAACAAACAATCATATCGCTGAGATGTAACAGTACACACAGATGTATAGAATGGACACTGAAAAAAATGTATATTGTGTCCCCTAAGGATGCACAGTATTATTCACTGTACCAAGTTCTCGACAGGAAATATATAAACTTCCTGTAAAAAAAGTAATCATGAAGTCTTATAGTACAGTATGCTACACCATTCCATTACTTTTCAGGTCCCTTATATTCCCTGTAAGGACCCTTAGTTTTGTAGGTCACAAGATAAAACCTTCGTAGAAGCCCCTCTACAATGGACCCTGGTTCTTGACACTATGGAGATCCTTTTAAGGACGATCTTGTAAATGTTACATCTGCTGTACTTGGGGGCTAATTTGGGATGAGTTGAGGGCACAATCTTTTTGATAATATTATATATTGCTTAAGAGTTCCAGGTGTTTGGGGTGATTTGAGTCTGATTATACAGTACAACCAGAAATTATTTAGAATTTAAAGATTGTAATTTAAACAGTGGACAAAGGGATGCCTGTTCTACTTGAAATCACTTTAGCTGATCTGATGTCCTTGTTATAATATTCTAAAATCAACTTCCTCTTCTCTAAATCAACCATACTGAGGATCACTGAAAATGTCGTCTGCTAGCAAGAAAACAAAGGGGATAACTCTTCACAAACTAATGAAAAAGGATTAACGGAGTTGTCTCTCTTGAATGAAGCCAAGCACTTGATAGCTGGTCAAGGTTGTTTATACTAGAAATCCAATTAAACATATTCCTAAAATTCTCAATAATTTCTGGTCATACTATATCTATTTGCAGCTGACAATTACAGTGAGTTTGACATTGCTTGTCTCAGCAACCTTGGTGAAGTCAGTGTTTATGGCATCACAACACTGAGGCAACAGATGGTTGCTCCTGCCATCAGGAAAGAAGATATCAAGTATGTTGTTTCCATTGTCAAATGTGTTATATCATTCTTTTCTTTATGTACATACTAATGATTGTCTGTCAAGAGGGGCATACAGCTTTATCCTCTGCTTTATTTCATTTGTAGTCGACATCACGATATGGCTGAAATATTGCCGATGTGACGTTAAATATTAACTCACTCACTCATTTGTAGTCTTCATAAAAAGGCAAGTCATGGACCTCTTCCAAATAGTACTGATGAATTCCTTTTGCACATGTCATAGTCAAAGGCGATGAGACCCAATGACTATATTCATTTCTCAGGGTTTTATAATTTTATCAACTCGTGACATCCCAGTCTAACCCAAAAATCTGTACATACAGAGCTAGATTGTTAAATCAGTAAATAACCATACAAGACTAATATATAATGATTAAATTAACTATGCAATTTACTGTAAACTTGTAAAATGTTTGTGTACACCAAGACAAATCCAAACATTGATTTTAAGTAGAGTATGTTGTTAAAGTCATGTCAGTCTTAATTCAAGAATGATGTGAAGTAATCGGTGAGTAACCTGTGTAAAATGTCAAACACAATTCATCTTCCTTCATCTAGAACACACAATTCTTTTGCAAAGTTGTTACAAAGCTCCAAAGTCAGTGGAAGAATGTTAATGAATATTTCACCAAGTCCCTCTACCATGGTATAGCATTGCTGCACTGCAGGAATTAATTGAATGTGGTTCCAACTCAGAATATGCAGGGTCATGTAAAAAGTCTTCAAAAATTTATTAAATGTTTCTGAAGTACTAGTAGATGTTTCCTGACAATGAGATAATTACTTTCAGGAATGTGCTGTCAGAGAATCAAACTTCTTACTCTCTTCAAACAAAAACAACAACAATTTGGATGTTTGAATTCTGGCAAAACTACACACTTTTCATTTGTAACTTCCATTTAACATTAATTGATTGTCTAAAGAAGTAAACAATTAAATAGAAGTATTCCTTATTCAATTTGGTACAAAGGAATGATTTTAAAAATTTATAAATTTGTAGTACTGGTGTATGTAATGTCAATGATAACAATAATTACATCTTGAACATCAAATTACAGCTATATTTGTAATAGAGAACAGTTTGGCAGTATATGTTGAATATGTAATTATCTCATTTTCAGCAAAGGCTTCATTTGAATGGTTTTTTTATCCCCCGCAACGCGTTTTGCGGGGGATATTAAAATGGACTCCGTGCGTCCGTGCACATCTTTTCCGGAGCATAACTCTAAAACCGTTCACTATTTCTTCACCAAACTTGGCACATAGATAGATCTGGTGGTCTACTGGTGCCTTTTGGTAGTTTTGGATTTCTGAAATATGTTTTGCGTTTCCATGGCAACAAGTTTGACAGACTGAAATTGGTTCTAGTGCTCTTTTCCCGGAGCAGAACTTTAAAACTGTTCACTATTTCTTCACCAAACGTGGTAAATAGATAGGTCTGGTGGGGTACTGGTGCCTTTTGGTAGTTTTGGATTTCTGAATAAAGTGTTTTTGGCGTTTCCATGGCAACAAGTTTCACTTTGACTGAAATTGGTGGTAGTACTCTTTTCCGGAGCAGAGCTTAAAAACTGTTCACTGTTTCATCACCAGATTTCACACATACCGGTAGGTAGGTCTAGTGGTGAACTGGTGCCTTTTGCTGTTTTGGATTTCTGAATAAAATGGGGGGTTTTTGCGTTTCCATGGCAACAATTTTGGCTTCAACTGAATTTGGTGGTAGTGCTCCTTTCTGGAGCAGAACTTTGAAACCTTTCAGTACTCTCCTTCCATATAACACCCCAAAACATTTGACATAATCATAACTCGTAGACATATTCATGAAGTCTATTTTGCCATTGCAGGGGATATTGATGACTTTTTCTTCTTGTTATCCCCCGCAACTCGTTTTTTGCAGGGGTATTAAAATGGACTCCGTCCATCCTTCTGTGCACCTTTGTCTTTTCCGGAGCTGAATTCTAAAACCGTTCAATATTTCTTCACCAAACTTGGCACATAGATATATCTGGTGGAGTACTGGTGCCTTTTGGTAGTTTTGGAATTCTGAATAAAACATTTTTGGCGTTTCCATGGCAACAAGTTCGACTTAGAATGAAATTAGTGGTAGTGCTCTTTTCTGGAGCAGAACTCTAAAACCGTTCACTATTTCTTCACCAAACTTGGCACATAAATAGATCTGGTGGTGTACTGGTGCCTTTTGGTAGTTTGGGAATTCTGAATAAAATATTTTTGGCGTTTCCATGACAACAAGTTTGACTAAAACAGAAATTAGTGGTAGTGCACTTTTCCGGAGCAGAACTCTAAAACCGTTCACAATTTCTTCACCAAACTTGGCATATACATAGATCTGGTGGTGTACTGGTGCCTTTTGGTAGTTTTGGATTTCTGAATAAAATATTTTTGGCATTTCCATGGTAACAAGTTTGACATAGACTGAAATTGGTGATAGTGCTCTTTTCTGGAGCAGAACTCTCCTTCCACTTTTCTATATACACACCTAAATATTTGACTCAAGCATAACTCGTAGACATAATCATTAAGAGTATTTTGCCATTGCGGGGGATATTGATGACTTTGTCTTCTTGTTATCCCCCGCAAAGCGTTTTGCGCGGGGTATTAAAATGGACTCCGTCCCTGCGTCCGTCCGTCCGTCCGTCCGTCCGTGCACATTTGTCTTTTCCGGAGCATAACTCTAGAACCCTTCAATGTTTCTTCACCAAACTTGGCACATAGATAGATCTGGTGGTGAACTGTTGCCTTTTGGTAGTTTGGGATTTCTGAATAAAATATTTTTGGCGTTTCCATGGCAACAAGTTTGACTTAGACTGAGATTGGTGGTTGCGCTCTTTTCCGGATCATAACTCTAGAACCGTTCAATGTTTCTTCACCAAACTTGGCACATAGATAGATCTGGTGGTGTACTGGTGCCTTTTGGTAGTTTTGGAATTCTGAATAAAATATTTTTGGTGTTTCCATGGCAACAAGTTTGACTAAAACTGAAATTAGTGGTAGTGCTCTTTTCCGGAGCAGAACTCTAAAACCGTTCACTATTTCATCACCAAACTTGGCACATAGATAGATCTGGTGGTGTACTGGTGCCTTTTGGTAGTTTTAGAATTCTGAATAAAATATTTTTGGCGTTTCCATGGCAACAAGTTCGACTTTGACTGAAATTGGTGGTAGTGCTCTTTTCTGGAGCAGAACTCTAAAACCGTTCAATATTTCATCACCAAACCTTTGCACATAGATAGATCTGGTGGTGTTCTGGTGCCTTTTGGTAGTTTTGGAATTCTGAATAAAATATTTTTGGTGTTTCCATGGCAACAAGTTTGACTTAGACTGAAATTGGTGATAGTGCTCCTTTCTGGAGCAGAACTTTCAAAACCTGTCAATACTCTCCTTCCACTTTTCTATATACACACCTAAATATTTGACATAATCATAACTCGTAGACATAATCATGAAGAGTATTTTGCCATTGAGGGGGATATTGATGACTTTGTCTTCTTGTTTATTATGTACCAGACCCAGCATGGTCTGAGTTGGTACATACTGGTGTAATGTGTACAGTGACTCTGTAATTCACTCTTGTCGTACATCTATCACTTTTACGTGTGCAGTACATTACATGTACTGGTAGATTAATGCCTTGCCTACAAGTGTGGACCTTTGAATTCCAGGCAGTAATTCACATGTGTAATGACATGAACCAATCATGCTAAGCCATCTCTGTTCTGTTGACCAATTTTATATCTACGTCACTTGTGAGACATAAACATTGCAGTGATAAATTAGAGGTTAGTAGTTGAAACCCTGTTGATACTTAGTCTATTTTTTGTTTGTTTCAGTGGCATTTCTTCATTTGTATTCACAAAGGAAGGCCAGGGACTATACCTCCACTCACCATCAGAGTTTACAAGAGTAACATTATGTCCTCGCTTTGTCATCGAGCCAATATGTATGCTGGAACTCAAAGATGGCATGAGACCTGAACCACAGGCTGAAGCTTTTGATACAGGAGTGTCAAAGCAGTATGTATACTCAATGTATTGTGGGTGTAACATAATTGGAAGCATTGGAAATTCAACTGTTCATATGTACAATTAGATGGGATATGCAGGATGTATTTTGAACTGAAATAATACCTATACTGGTATTATATATATATTTAGGGAATAACCCATGAGGTACGAGTGATTACAGGAAATGTGTCCCGAGTGAAATTAATGTTCACTGTCCCGAGCCTTAGCGAGGGACTTGAACATTAATTTCATGAGGGACATATTTCCCATAATCACTCGTACCTCGTGGGTTATTCTATTTATTACCCATTTTGTTATTAAACAGAGAAACCAGTATTTAAGAACTCAAACCACATCTTCTTATGTAAGTGGTTACATATTTATATCAGCTGATCTGTATTAATGCGACATGAAACCAAACTCTCCTCAAGCCTAATGGAATTGTGTACGAACCACGATATAGTACTATAGAAAACGGTATGAAAAACAACACAATTTAACGGTTTCCTAATTCGTATGATGGTGATTTTACCAACCACAAGAGCTTGTAATTTCAATGAGTACAATCACACATTCAGTATTTAGTCGCTCTGGCCTACTCGTGTCAGATGGTGGGTGACTGTTGTTGGATATAAAACAGCAAACAACTATCAATTTTTTATCCCCTGCAACAACGAAGTTGCGGGGATATAGAAACAAGTTCCGTCCATCCGTGCGTCCGTCACACTTTGTCCGAAGCATATCTCCTAAACTATTGGTGATAGCTTAACCAAACTTGGTACAAATGTCAACCATGAACCCTAGATGTGCCTTTTGGGGGTTAGACCCAGAGATGAATTTTATTTTTTTGCGGTTTCCATGGAAACGTGACTTAGGCTGTGACTATGAGGATGTCATCTTGTTGCATTTCCATGGCAACAAGTTAGGCTTCAACTGAATTTGGTAGTAGTGATCCTCTCTGGAGCAGATCTTAAAAACCTTTCAATACTCTCCTTCCACTTTGCTGTATACACTCCAAAACATTTGACATAATCATAACCAGCAGACATATTCATAAAGAGTATTTTGCTGTTGTGGGGGATATTGATGACTTTGTCTTCTTGTTTAAATTTTAACTTATAAAACACTGAAAATCTGCCAGGGAACAAACTGCAGGAATGGTGAACCTTTTTATCCCCCATTTCTCTCTTTTTTTTTCTCTCTCTCCCCCAAAGCATGTAATGCCGGGGGTTGGGGTATAGTCGACGCCTTGTCCATCTCTGTCCGTAATCATTTTGTTTCCAGCTGTTGCAGACACAATTCTGGGTTCGCAGAGGGATTCGACAAACGTTCAATATGAGGATAGATGGGCCTGTTATGAGCGCTGGTGTGGAAGCAGAGGGATTGTTGATCGCTTTTCTTCGAATCTAGTCGAAGTACTGGAGTTTTTACAGTCTCGGCTGGTCTAACCGCGTCTACTATCCGAGGCTACTCCACGGCAATCTCTGCGCTTTTTAGCAGGCATGGATAGAATCCGTTCAGCGGATTAGTCCCCGGTGGGACTTGTCAATCGTTCTTGATTGGATGTCCTGTCCTCTCTTTTACGATCTGTCATCTCTTTCACTCCAGCTGTTAAGTTGGAAGGCAGCCTTTCTTGTCGTCTGACAAGAGGTTCGGCGACATACACACAGCGGATCCTGAACTCTTTCATAAAGACAGGGTTAGTATTCGCTTGCCAGACTCTTATCATCCTAAGTTTGCAGGCTCCTTTCATGTAACGGCGCCTATTGAGCTTCCGGCTTTCACGCAGCCTCCATCGTCTGGTAGTGCAGAAGACTTCTATAACACACTACATGCACAAGTTCATGAGTTTAAGACTGTGAGTTTTATATGTGGTGATTTCAATAGTCGCTGTGGGGACGAGACAGACTATATTGAAGGTGTAGACACCATTCCAGAGCGACTGGTTAGTGACTTCACACGTAATATCAACGGTAAACATTATCTTGACTTTTTGATAAGTGCCAACTTTTGTATACTTAACGGTCGCAACTCCAGTGCAAATGATTTTACATTTGTGTGTAGTCAAGGCATGTCTGTTGTGGATTACTGTTTTGTTCCATATGAATATTACATCTTTTTAGTGATTTTAGAGTAACCCTGCCCTCTGATTTGGTAAGCAAAGCTGGTTGTGTTGGTACTATTGATGGCGAAGCTTTACTCAAGTTAGACCATTCACTGCTTCCATGGTGTAGTACATTGGGTATGGTAGGCAACACTGATGTTACAGATAAGGAAGATAACTCTACAGACTTCTATGACAGGATATTAACAGGAAAACCCCCAAAGGACTTTCTTCAGACACTTGGCGTACATGCAGAGCTGAGTAATATTATCAATAAACTGGAGTTATCGATTGCAGATCAGACACATATTGATGATGCCTACAGCAGATGGATCGATGTGATACATAGAGAAATGAAAGACAAGCTTCCAACTAAAAGAATCTATCTACAGGATGGATGCAGCAACAAGAGAAGACGACAATGAACTATGCACGGCAGAGAGAAAGTGGAACAAAGCCGACAACAGTCACAAACTGGAGATGAAAAGAGTCTATTTACAACTAAGAAAAGATTTCGATAGAGACGTGCAGAGGCAAAAGAGACTATATAGAAGTAAGATACACCAGCATTTAGAAGAAATGTGTGACCAAAACAGTGAGGATTTCTGGAGAAATATTGGAAGAATAGGTGTAGGTCAAGAACGTCGTAAAGGCATGCCAATGGAAGTGAGGTTGGGAAATGGGGAAATTACTTCAAATATAGAAACTGTTTTAGCGAAATGGACATCAGACTATGAACTCCTTCTGAATGGGACGGGAAACAAAAATGACGTCACGGACGATGGCATGGGGTCAGAAGATGATGTGACACAACCCGAGTTACATGAGGAGATCAGTCTGGAAGAAGTGAAGTCAGCTCTAATGAAAGCAAAGAGTGGGAAAGCATCAGGTGTGGACGAGATACCAACACAACTGCTGAAAGGGGAATTAACTGTGGGACTATTACACAAACATTTTAATGTATGTTTCAGATCAGCTAAAATCCCAAGAATGTGGTCGGAGGGTATTATTAAGCCAATACCAAAGTCTTCGATGGTTGACAAGTTGGACCCACTTAACTACAGGACAATAACTCTAGCCCCAGCTGTCTACAAGGTCTACTGTGGTGTGTTGAATGATCGTCTAAATGCGTGGTCGGAGAGGAATGATGTTTTAATGGACGAGCAAAATGGTTTTAGAAAAGGTAGATCAACCATGGACCATATTTCATCTATAACAAGTATTATAGAAAACAGAAAACTAGAAAGAAAATGTACCTTTGTCGCTTTTATTGATTTCAAGAAGGCCTATGACTGGATCGACGGAAACATTCTCTGGAAGAAGTTGAACGAGAAAGGAGTAAGAGGAAGAATGTTAACGGTTCTTAAATCTCTCTACCAGAATGTTAGGTGCTGTTTTCGGGTTAACAGACTACGTACGCCATGGTTCAACGTAAAACGAGGTCTCAAGCAAGGTTGTTTGCTTTCGCCGTTACTGTTTAACGTATATATAGATGACTTAATTTCTACGTTAAACGCATTAGGAAGGGGTATAAGGTTCAGAGAAGAACATGTATCAGTATTGGCTTATGCTGACGATATCGTACTACTCGCTGACAATGCAGAAGACCTTCAGTGTTTATTGGATGAAGTAAATATATGGTGTGGAGTAAACAAGATGACTATCAACCCGGAAAAGTCAAAGGTGGTCCATTTTAGAGTTCCTTCAAAAAGTAAAACAAGTACAATTTTACATATGGTGATTCGACCATTGACGTTGAAGATCAGTACCAAAACCTCGGCGTGCTTCTAACTCAGCATCTGGACTATAACGCCATGGCCAAATCTGCAGCCAAGTCGGCCAACAGATCACTGGGACTGCTCATCTCAAAGTTTAAGACTCTAGGCGGAATGCCCCATAATGTGTTTACGAAGCTCTATGACACCATGGCCTTTTCACTTATAAGTTATGGCACTGCAATATGGGGAACAACAGAATACTCATGCATCAACACAGTTCATCATAGAGCAATTAGATTTTTCCTAGGTCTAGGGAAATATGCACCCAACTCAGCTATAAACGGAGAGATGGGATGGTTGCCCCCAAAAGTGAGGAATTGGACATCTGTGCTAAGACATTGGATAAGATGCATTAATACCACAAGCAGAAGACTGAATAAGAGGATATTTGTAATGGCGAACAAAAGCAAAAAGAAAAATTGGAATTTTAAAGTCAGAACCCATCTTGTATCCCTTGGATTCGAACACCTTACAGATGTCGAACACCACCTGGAAAAGAAGCTATTCATCATGAACGTGCAAGAAGCAATGATAAAGGCATACAAACAAGGATGGAGAGAGAAGATGAATGACGAAAGGGGTGACGTGGAGGAAACAAATTGAGAAACTAGAGACTTTTTTAAAAAAAATATGAAACAGAACAGTATGTTAAGTATCCGCTTCCCCGAGGTCACAGAAGTTCTTTAGCAAAGTTCAGATGTGGAGTGGCCCCAAGAAGAGTTAAAACGGGAAGATATGAAAACATACCGCACAACGAGAGATTTTGTTTTAATTGCCAAAATGTAGTCGAGGATGAAATCCATGTTTTATTTTTATGTCCAGCTTTAAACTATATCAGAAAAGATGTTATTCAAAAATGTGCTCTTAATAACGTTCATTTTAAGGATTTATCATGCCATGAAAGGCTTTCATATATTTTTACTTGCCCCGATGTAGCTTTTAGCATTGCCAAAACCTACCATGATATTTTAGTTAAAAGACGTGAAATTTTATATGGCTAATTTACATGACCATTTTATATAGCTGTATTTTGTAAATATATATATTATGAATATTTTATTTTAATAATGCTTAAGATGTCTCTCAAAAGTCGCTGAGCAACTGATCGTAGCATATTTTATTTATAT